ATAATCTTGTAATACAAACGTACTTTTTTCATAATCGTTCTGAATTCTCAGATCGGTCCAGATTGATACAAGTTTTTAACTTGTATATCCTTACCTAATAATTTCCACGTGACAAATTTACAAGGTATTTGTGTTTAACTGGATCATGAAATCAAAAATAAATGTTCAATCTAACCAAATTTGAATAATTTTTAGTATATCTATTAATTTCTTTTGATGATTTCATAACTTATATTAAAATGGTAATGATGCGTGGCTTAGTAACATGAAAATCAGATGAATCACGTAAACACTGAAAAAACCACGCATACGTGATTACACAAAGACTGCGCCTTTAGATTTTTCGGTGTGTACGTTATTTTTACAATGTATACACCTAAGTTTCCACGCCTACGTTATATTTTCGGTGTAAACACCACAATTGCGGTGTCTACGTTACTGGGAATTAAAATGTATTTGAAGACCTACAATCCCAAGCAGTAGAGATTAGAATTTTCCAGTTCTATCTTATTATTAATAGAATAATTTTACAGTTCTACTTTTATGATTAATAAAGAATACCAATCCATCCTTAAATAAATTGTTCTCTTTTCGCTTGAATAAAATATATGCTTATCTGAATATTCCCTTGCATATTGTCTTTGAGTTCGACTAGTAACTTTAATAAACCCTCTCGAGACTCAATTCGACGGACTGAATTGACTTGTAACTTCGACTAGGCTTATTAAGACTCGGATTCTAGAACGATTGTGGAATCAGATATTGCCATTCACCTTCGTGACTTGCGAGAATTGTGGTAGAGAACGAGACTTACGATTGGTTATTCGACCCTGTTAATCCATCACGTGAACATAAAGTAATCACCGGAATCACTTGATCATCGTCCGCTTTTACCTCACCGTCCTTATTGAGATATCCCTAACAGCATCGCCTGTAGTTGCACCACCCCTTTATCACCCCTCTTAATATTAAAGCCTTCGTTTCATAGTGGTATATTGTCTCAATAGACCTCCGATAGTTATAATCAACTCCCTTCGCTTCTCAAGTTTATCTTTATTTCCCCGTACACCATTGGAGTTAAATTGGCCTTCTATTCATATCATTTTCATAAGCTCTCCCAACAACGGTTACAGTATAATGGATTCAAATTGATGTATATAATTTAGATCGATGATTAATGTAAATATCATAAAACTTTAGTACGTACGTATATATATTTCTGGTTGAATGCAGAAATATAACATCTTTTCTGGTAAATAATCGAAAACTTTGGGCTAATCAATTCGAAAAATTGTCAAACACTTACTGTCTTTCGATAAATTTTTGTGTAAATTAAATATGACAAATGACAAATGACATATGTTATTAGTCATATAAGTCATATGATAGTGTCATATGAAAATATGACAAAATGATATATGATTATATATAATATGACAAAATGATATATGATTATATATAATATGACAAAATGATATATGATTATATATAATATGACAAAATGATATATGATTATATATAATATGACAAAATGACTTAAGTCATTAGTTAAATGACTTATGACATTGACATTGTCATTGTCCAACACTGGTCTATTGAGTCTATTGGCTTTATCGTCTATTCACAATCCTGCGTGAAGTTACACCAACTGGTGTACGGAAATACAGTTATCGTTATTCAAAGAATTTCGATTTTGGATCACAAATTCTGAAATTAGCTATTTTCAAGTAAATAAACCCCGTAACTTATTTGGTTGAGACTCTCTCTCCTTAATTAAAATAACTTAAACATTTTTTTTTTTTTTACGATATGAAGTCAAGTTATTTTAGAAAAAACATTTTAAGCCCATTAAATATTTTTGCACTTTTTTTAATATTGACGTTTTTTAGTAGCTATTACTTTTCTTTAAATTTTACAGAATTCCAACATAAAAGCAACAAATGTCAATTAAAAAATAAACTATCTTATAATTCATCCCAAAAAATATACCCGTTCACGATAGTAACGGGCGCAAGTTCTGACCATTATTGCGCTCTTCAATCATGGCTCTACCATATGTCTTTATCACTTTCATCTATTCCTACGACTCAGCGTCCCAGGATAATAGTTTATGATCTAGGTCTTTTAAATTTTCAACGCAATTCTCTCTCCTATCTTTATCAAAAACATTATTTCACCCACTATCGACTTTTCAATTTTTCAAAATATCCTTCATTTTGGAATATATCAATTGCTCAAGGTGAATACGCGTGGAAACCTGCAATAATTGCTGAAGTATCTCGGGAATTCCCCGGAATAGTTGTGTGGCTGGATTCAGGAACCTTTGTATCAACGAATTTTTTAAAGAATGTTAAAAAACTGGGTAACGCCTATGATGGATTTTTTTCACCAAGAAGTAGTGGAAAATTTTTGAGGTGGACTCACCCCGGCGTTTTTAAATATTTCAACGATTCAAAAGAAAAAAAAAAGTACAAGACTCCAAGTAATTGCAATGCTGCAGCAGTGTTATTTGACACCGTACGTACATCCCACATAATAGAAGAATGGGAAAAGTGTGCCCGTGTAAAAGAATGTATAGCACCCAATGGCAGTAATAGAAGTAATCACAGGCAGGATCAATCAATTCTTACTTACATGATAATAAATAATAATAGGGACTGTGATAGTGACAAAAGATTATTTGAAATTCAGATTCATAGGGACAAATATTGCATTCAAATGATATGGGAATATGAAAAGCTCTACGGCGAAATTTGGAAACCAGATATTCAAGATTTGAAAGAAATGAAGGAAACGAGGGAAAAATTTCCTGAGATTGTTGTTTATGATGTTTGGACTGAAAGTGGTAAAGCAACTTTGGAAAAAATTAACGAGGTAAAAAGAATGGCAAAAAAAAGAAAAAGAAACCTAAATCGCAGATTTGATTAATATATTTATATTCCATCGCCAAATTTTGAGATCTAAATTATGTAATCTTAATTATTGTAGTCACTGTTTTTATTTTTAGCAGATAGTTTATATTAAAAGGCAAGTTATAAAAAATACCAATAGCTATAACGAATGATGGATTGTACTAATTTTATATAAGCTTTTTATAATTATTTATCTTGTCTAAATTAAATATTTATAATAAAAGAGTAATTATTTTACAATCCAAAGCCTTTATATATTAGACTTTCTGATGCATGATCTAAATTATCGAAAACTTGCAGCGAAAAAAATTATTTATTTCGGTGAAAAAAATTGTAAAAATTGTCATTACTTTTGTGCGCGTTTCTATCCGGGAACGTATCACTTCATAAAAAATCATTTTATATACAATTTATTTTATATAAAGACAATTGAAGTTTATTTTAAAAAAACAATCATTTCATGGACAGTTCGTCTTATAGTCAGTTTATACACCTAAAACAGACGCATGCATCTATGTGCCCCCAAACCAGTTTAAAACCCGGTACAACCCGGTACCCAGCCAATCAACATCAATTATGTACGTACGTACGTAGATACTACACACACACGATCAGCGTGTAACGTTAAAATTAAAAAAGCAAATCGTTTAATTCAAACAAGTTTTGCGCCTGCAGCTCTAGTGTCGCTACCCTAACGCTAAAACATTTCAAATTTTTAGATCAGGTGTATTAAAACTTCAATCTCCGCAAATTTTTTGAATTAATGAAGTTCTTTCTAACTTAATCTTAATTTAACAGCAAAATTTTTTAGTGAAATCTTTGGGTTGGTGACGCTAGAGTTCTAGTAAAGTTTAAATTGACTGACTTGAATTAATGCTACGTAATACTGTAATATAAGAAAAACTATCCCTGAAAAACTTTAAATTTGTTTACATGTATGTACATTGCCTATCATCACGTGACATAAACCACAGATTATAATTTCGCCTAATCGTGCCAATCATATTTATTCTATTAATCTCAAAATTTTAGAATTTTAGATAATTCGACATATAAACCATAAAATGTGGAAAATAAGCGCTGCCCTACTTTTTCAATCTCAATTAGTGGAGATAACGATAAAATCTTTAAGTTACTTCCGTCAATCTGAGATTGAAAAAATTAGGGTAGAGGGTGCAGTGCACATTTTACGGTACCAAGTTGTTTGCGATTTTGACTGTCAAAAATTATTTTCTCCATTTAAATTTACGCCAAGAACAAATATTTTAGACACCCATGTATAGTTTCCTCTAAACTAACAATGAATGTTTTTGCACAGCCCCATTTCAGAACAAAAACAAATCCTACACGTTTATCCTTCAAGGATTTTCATAAAAATGTTTCAAATCCAAATTTACAATCACCCAGTGACTCATCACCAAAATCAAATTTTCAACCAGATAGCTCTTCTTCGGACGTTGCATTATTTTCAAAGAGTTTTCCAACAAAACAAGATAATTCAGAAACAGAATTAGAAGAGTATACAACTGAAAAACATTCTGCCCAAGAACTTTCAGCGAACGACGACTCAGCTGCATTATCAGGATTGAATCCATCATGTCCTTCTCATTCTGATGAAGAGTTGCCTCTACAATCAGACTCTATTCATATGAAAGACTTGCAAATTCGACAAGCAGACATGGAAATTGACGACTGTAATATTGAATCACATATGACACAAAATCCTCAGGATGTTGACCTATCTTTGAAAGGCAATCAAAATCCTTCTTCAGAAAGTTTAATCTCCCCACGTAATCAGCTTGATCTATCATCAAAGGCATTTTCAGTTGATGAAAGCATACCTATTAATGCGCCCACTTCAAATTTCATGAAACCCTGCTCGCAAATCAATTCAAAGGATCTGAGAAATAATACAAGCATTGATGACCTCCACAAGGAAAATGAGGGAGACGATTTGGGTATTATAATTGAAGTTGCTCACAAATGGAAAAACGATGTTTCTAGAAAAGATTCCCTAATCAAAGAGCTGGTGAGAGTCAACCATCTCATAAATTCTGTTCATAACATCCCTTTTCAATTATACTCATAATATCATAATTATGCTACTTATAGAATGATGAGATTCACGGGTTAAAAAATACCATTGAGCAACGGGATCATTCTTTGTCCTTGTATATAGAGCGTATGTCCATTGTAGAAGCGTTAATAAAACGTCAACAAACTTATACTGATCATAATCGTGAGAGAATTGAGAAAATGAAAGCGAAATATTATCTGTATCGCAATAGTTTATCAAATATGTTGAAACGTATGGAAGAAGTACGAGATGAAAAAAGTCGAATCGAAAGTGAAATTGAGTCCTTGAAATGTGGTGCGTAACATTTTCTAAAATGTGGCATCATTATTAATTTAATAATATTAAATGATCCATATTGTGACTTATATTGACAGAATTCGATAAACTTACTACACAACACAAATCCATTTCTGAAAGCCATGCCTCTAATTCTCAGTCACGTATGTATATTCGCGGTTTATGTATATCATAAATGTTATTATAAAATATTGTAATCTAATATTATTATTTTCATCATGAAGAGCGATCTCAAATCGCTCAAATGACTGATCTAAACACCCATCTCACTGAATCTAACTCACAACTCAATAACGTTATCGCACAACTTCGTCAATTAATACAAGATTCGGATGCTAAGTCTTCATGCTATGCATCTGAGCTTGAATCTACACGCGAAAAATTGGATGTATTATTACGTGAACGCGATACAGAAAGAATGGCACATGTGAACAAATGCCAGAATCTAGAGTCTTTGTTAAAATATTCAGAAGATAGCAACAAAGCATTGATGACAAGTCAAAAAGAAAATGAAGAGAGGTGTGTTTTCTTGTTTAACGCACTGCACTTTAACATTTCAAAGAATGTTGTAGACAATTTGTTTCTTTTTCAATAACAAAAATTTATTTTTGTGGTGTGAATTAATTGATAATAGACTTACTGCACTTAAGAAAGATATTCAGAAAGTACAACAAGAACTAGAATCAACTCGAGCAGAACATTGCAAACTGGAAAATGAATGGCGCAATGAACGCACTCAATTAGAATCTGAATGTCTAGAAGAACGTGCTCAACGACTGCGTCTAGAATCTGACTATCGTGACGAGCGTTCTGAACGCTTTCGTGTTGAGAATGACCTACGTAATTCAGATAGAAAATTAGAGGAAATGCTTCAAGAAATTGATAACAGCAAGCTAAAGTATATTGGTTTATTATAATTCTTTTTAACATCTAAGGTTGCATCAAATTTTTACCTGAATTTGCCTATACAGAATTGCACAGTTGGAATTTCAATTAAATGAAATTGAATATAGACATACAAATCGTACATCTGGTATATTTATTTTTCTTTATGAAAATGGTTTTTATTTCTTTCTAAACCACTGTTAATTTTTTAATTAAATTTATTGTGCGGATCCCGCACAAAAATAAAATAAAATAAAATAAAATAAAATTCATGAGCAACCGTTTACAACTATTTTATAAAATATTAATTTTTCTGTGCGGCATCCGCACTTCTGTTCAAAGAAAATGTGTGCAAAATTTTGGTTCAATGTGCTGTGCACAGTTTGCACAGCGAAGAATAATCAACTAAAACGTTATTTATTTATTATTTAGTGGCTATTGGAACCACCGATATTCCAGATCTTGATCTCAATTTACAATATAATAAGGCTATGTTCAAATTTGACCAAGAACAATCTAGCAGCGAAACAAAAATAGAAGAGCTGTCTAGGACTGTTGAGACTTGGAAGGTACATTTTTATCTAAATAAAAATGGCGTTACTAAGCGTCTTGTTCATTGGTAATTATCACATCCCTTTAATTATATCATTTATTATGTAATGTAATAATAATATGGGGTCTCTGCCTTGAAAATCACGTTATGGAACATATAATTTACTATGTGATTTTCAAGGCAAAGACCCATACAATGAATGAATGACATTCACCGATGAACAAGACGTTTAAACCACTGAAATAAAATGTTCTTACGTCCATATGATTATTTTGAGCATTAAATGTCCAATAACATTTTGTTTGAATTTGATGAATTAGTCTAAAGCAGAGTCACTTGAATCACAATTAAGCATTATCTCCACAAAGCATGATGAATTACAAAATGAACACAGCAAAGTTGTCGAAGAGATGATTAGCGTTAATCGTCAGGTATCCTACATTGTGCAATAATTAATAACAACATATGCAAGAATATTCAACCAAATGCAATTTTAGCATAACGAGGCCGTTGATCAAGCCCTCAATCGCGCTGCTTGTTATTACCAAGAGATGGCAAAAAGGACGGCAGTAGAACATGAAAATGATATTCGCAAACGAGACTGTAAAATTCGCGAAGCTGAAGCCAAAGAAACGGCATTGGCTGAGGAAATTGTACGTATAAATTTTAATAGTGTCATAATTTATATTAATTAAAAAATATTTTATAGAAATCAATAAAAGCTAAGCTCATTCAAACGGAACTAAATGAGAAATCTTTAATTCGTCAACTGGTAAAAATTATTTCTTAGATATTTTAAATATGGGTGTGAGTCAATAAAAACTAAGAAAAAACTTTGAACAAAAATAAATTTAAAAAGAACTTGGTCAATTCTTAATTCATCTATACAAATTTACTTGGTTTGTGTTGACTCACATCATATGTAAATATTGATTAATCTTGTCTGTTTAAATAAAGCGGTTGAGAAAAGGATGTAGCGTATGCAATGTTTCTACTACTGGAAATACAGTGAGTGTTTTGTTATTTTTATCCAATTTTCTACTCTACCATGATTTAATTTACGTGGAATCTTAGTCTCTAGTGAGTCATGAACATAAGGATCTTGAACCAAATATCAACGAAGTATCGTTTATACCGTCGTTAGATACAAAAGTTCGTTGAATATTTAAATTTTTACAAAGATTAATCAATTATTTGGATATTGCACAGTCTACTAACATGTCGGTGTTGAACTCTGATAAGTCTTGTGCATCAACGGTATGTATAGTGGCAATATGAATATTTGTACATAGTTTATTGTTGACAAATGAAATCATATTTGTCTTTTATAGACTGAAGAATTTCACACCGCAGATAATGCGATAAAAGCTGAATCCAACGACGAAATAAAATCGGGACTCTCAAATGACTGGTTGTCACCAAATGCGCAAGCACGTTCTAAAAAACGAAAGGTAAGTGTCTATGTTGTATCTGAAATTGACACCCGCCTGAAGTTGCACTTGACTATTTAGCCCTTGAAATTAGCATATTCTTGTACGCTTTAGCTTATACTTTTAGGCAGGTGTAATATCAGGTGCCTGAAGTTGCAACTTCAAGCAAGACATCTATACCATTAATATTTTTAAGCTTTAAACTAATTAACACTAAATCCACTAAAAATTGTTTTTTCGAACTATACACTTATTACAGCTTGGTCGTCCCAGCGATACCGACGGTTCTCAGCATGCAATACGATCGTCAGTTCCTTCAACACCTAGTCCATCGAGTATCAGTGTATTAAAAGATAAGAAATCAACGCAGTTAGGCACACGAAATCGCAAATTTAAACCGAAACAGGACCGCTACTCTGTAGGCTCTTAGGTTTATCCAGAATAACTGGATGATAAACGATACATTTCCAGCCTTATATAGAATCATACCGGTTCGTCCGTCTCTAGAGCATGTGCTTATTGTTATCGTTAAAAGTTTAATTGTATCATAAAAAGTTGAATAAAGAAAATAAATGGTATTGCATTTCTAAAATATTTTATTACTTTAATTAAATTATTTACAAATATTGAAATTAAATTGATATTAAAATCCCCCCAAAAAATTTCTCAACAATATCAAGAATCTTTCATCGTTTCAAATCCCATGACAACGAATTAATATTATGTATCGTAAACTACCAGATATCTGACCCCACATGTATTATACCCAGGTCTATGTGATAAAGTTTGGTAAAATGTAAAAGACCCGGGTGTACAAATAGGAATAAGTACTAATAATCAGTAATTAAAATGAAACAGACCCGAGTCTTGTATGCGGCGTTTACGGTATTTATGAATGTCCATGTTTGTCATAGAACTGGAATAATCTATCTAAAATTCTAAAAGGTGCCTTCGTGAATTGTTATGTAAGTCAGACGGCAAGTGTATATATATATATTTTTTTTTTTTCAAAATAATTTTTCGTCTATATTTGTTGAATAGTTTTTTTTTTTATGAATGTAATAAAAATATTTTTTAAATCAAGCTTAATCCCGATCTTGATATCGGTAGCACTATTTCTTCCTTTTCCCTTGCACTTTTTTCCTTTTTTTCCACATCTCTTCTTGCTCGATTATACATGTATAAACCACTGAATGTAAGAATAATTCCTATACCTTGAACGAAGCTAGTTCTTTGACCAAACCATATGATGCTTGCCGTAATAACAAAAATTCGTTTTACTAATGAAGCAATTGAATATGTAACGGGGGAAGTAATAGATAAAATTGATAATGCCAATATATTTTGTGCAAAATGTGAGGTACCATTTAGCCAAAAATAAAAAGCAATAGTCCAACCATTTGATGAAGGGTTTGAAGGAAAGCGATATGACCAGAATTGTTCAATGAGTAAAGGAAAACCGTCATAGTATAGCCAAATTGGAGTCATAAAGGAAAATGCCATTAGGCTAGAATAAAACGATACATTAAGTTCATCAAGTTTGCGCTTTTCAAAACTTGAATGGCCCCTGAAAAGTAATTTTTTTGAAAAAATATTCTGAGCAACAAAGACAACAGTTGAACTCAATGCGAAAAGAAAACCAATAAAATTTGCCGTCGAAGAGGAAGAACAAGCAAGCATTACTCCAATAGTAAGTGGTATTAAAGAGATATATACTGAATAAGAATAATTAATATTGAAACCAAATCGATAAAAAATTACTGTGAACAGAGGTGAAAGAGCCTATATAATTGGCGATTACTAAATAAGACTAATGGTAATATTTCTACTGTGAAAAGTGGAATGTGTAAATATTAAATGCTTACCTTTATAGTATGCACAAAACTAACGGGAACTATACTTGTAGCCATACTAGAAAACATATGACCAGTAATCGAGAACAAACTTAAAGGTAAAGTAGTACTTATAATGTATGTGGTAGGACTTCTCAGTCTGGTAAATCCCATCCTATGGCCAATGACATAACAATACAAGCCAACGAAACCGAATTGCACCCAAGTGAGAGTAACAGGATAATTAAATTGGTTTAAGATTTGTTTGCCAATATTATTAGTCACGGCAGAGGAAGCGTACCATAATAAGCAGTATACAATGAACTTCAAAGTATCAAGAGTATAACTGATGTTGGAATTCATTTAAGATTAATGCGGTTACGGCACTTGCCTTATTGTTTGCCGTAAAAACCATAAACCGTAGTGCCGTAGTGCCGTAATACCTGATGCCGTGATGTAAAAATAAAAGATTGGGAAGGGCGCAATGAAAGATTTGAAGAGAAGTAATGGGAGATTGGAAGTGTAATGAAAGATTTGGAGGGGGCGAAATAAAAGATTAGAAAAGGAAAATTACTGCATTTAAACACATGATAAATTTTCTGTACTACCGCTACTT